CAGGGTTGAGTCCTGGATTGAGGTTCAGCCCCACAATGGGGTCCTCCTAGGAATGGGGCTCAGCCCCATAGCAAGTGCTGCCTGGGAACAGGGCTGAGGCCCACAGAGGCAGAAGGGCTTCAGCCTGGTGGGGAGGGTCATGTGGGAACAGTGCTGCAGCCAGCGGTAGGAATCCCAAAGAAAGGGGTTTCAGCCCTGGGAGGGAAGGCGCCAGCAGTCGGGGCTTCAGCCCTATGTTCTGGAAAGGCTCGTAGACTTCTCCCCTTCTTTAGGATGAATAGGGAGGGAAGACACTCCTACATGGTTTCTTTCTATGTTTCTCCCTTAGCACCCTGCCTGACTCCAGACACCACATGCTGGTGCCTGCTTTACCGTTAGCCACAAATAGGAGGCTGCTGTGGCTGCGCTGATTGGGGAACTCAAGGACCAGCAGGGTGCATGCAAATATGGGACATTTTGCCCCCTTACAAAGAAAAAGTCGGGATGCCTGGAAGACAGCTTAAGTACGGGGCAGTCTTGGTAAAAACGGGACGGATGGTCACCTTACTCACAAGGATTAACTTCTCAAAGCTGAGGAAAATCATAACTGTAATTGATTGGGAGAACACATTTAGACAGAAAAATGTGAATGGAAATTGAGAGTTCTATAAGAAAAGCTTATCAGATGGCCAAAAAGTTTCTAGAGACTTGACAGATGGTGAAGTTGAAGAGATAACATCAAGTCCCACTCCAATGCCCACACAGAGAAACTGAACTCGATGACGGACAGCAGCTGCATCATGTTCTGCAGTTCCTTACATACCCTCAGTGGCGCAAAAACCTCGGAGGGACCACTCTGAAATTTTGTCTCAAAGTGTAGACCAGAGTAGAACAGAAAGGAAATGGGGGGGGGGGGGGGGGAGAGGGAAGGGATCAAAATGGAATGCTTTTCTGGAAAATATGCTTTAGCCAAACACAAATTATGTATAAATCAAACAAATTATTGATCTCTGCTCAGCCCTCCCCACTTTTCACATTTCCCTATTCTATTCTATTCTATTCTATTCTATTCTTATACCACACTCAGTGCCTAATATTTGAGTGCTGTTGAGTGATGCATTAAGTGATATAACTAACAGTAGTTCAGTGCTTCAGAAGGGTAGCTGTTTTGGTCTGTAACTAAAAAAAAAACCTCACCTAAAAAACTTAAAAAACTAGCAATGGTCCTGTAGCACCTCAGTGTATGTCTAGACTACATAGCTCCGTCGACGGAGCCATGTTAACTAGTTTGCCCGACATAGTCAATGAAGCGGGGATTTAAATAAACCCTGCTTCATTAAAATAAAAATGGCCGCTGTGCTATGCTGGCTCAGCTGATTGTCGGCACAGCGCGGCAGTCAAGACGTGGATCGGTAGACAAGGTTTACAGGATTGGTCGACAAAGGCTTTCCCTGTCGACTGATCCGTGTCTTGACTGCCGCACTATGCCGACAATCAGCTGAGCCGACACAGCACGGCGGCCATTTTTATTTTAATGAAGCGGGGTTTATTTAAATACCTGCTTCATTGACTATGTTGAGTAGCCTATTTTACATGCCTCTGTCATCAGAGGCATGTAGTCTAGACATACCCCCACAGAGGAAAGCGCTTGCACGTACCCTGAGTGACTTCAGGATAAGAAGAGAGATCTTGAAGATGACTCAACAGAAAATGGAAGGTGTTTGACATATAACTATGTGCTGAACTTCCTCTAAGTCCACATTCACATTACCCTTTCAGACTCATAGGTTTTTGCTCAATTCCATTGTTGATCAACCATGACTTAGCTCTCAGTCTCACACTTTATCCTCTTAGGGTATGTCTACACTACAAAGTTAATTCAAACTAACAGACGTTAGTTCGAATTAACTTTGATAGGCGCTACACACGCGAACCGCTAGTTCGAACTTAATTCGAACTAGCGGAGCGCTTAATTCGAACTAGGTAAACCTCATTCCACGAAGACTAAAGCCTAGTTCGAATTAACTAGTTTGAATTAAGGGCTGTGTAGCCACTTAATTCGAACTAGTGGGAGGCTAGCCCTCCCCAGCTTTCCCTGGTGGCCACACCGGGCTGATGGCCGAGTGCTGTGATGTGCCGAGTGTGGGCACTCAGGGCACTCCAAGCCAGGACTGCTTTGCAAGCAGGGAACTCCTGAGAACTGTCTGTCCGGGGTGGGAGTTGGGTCCCTTTAAGCACAGCCCTCAGCTAGCCTGAGACAGCAGCTCCACGCTCTAAGTCCTCCCCTGATGCCCTGCTGGCACTGCTTCCGGCAATCCTTAATCTCGGTTCAGGGTCCACTCAGTGTGGACATGCTAGTTCGAAGTAGCAAAACGCTAATTCGAACTAGTTTTTAAGTCTAGATGTGCTAATTCGAACCAAGTTAATTCGAATTAGTGCTGTAGTGAAGACATGCCCTTAGCTATTTGTTTTATATTTAATCTGAGATGGGTGATAAACAGCTTGGTGAAGTGCAGTGCCCCTATACCACTTGTGTGTGTTGTAAAGCTCTAGTGTGTAGTCCTCTGGTGTTACATAAGTCAAATTAATAACACAGTTGTAAAGCTTTTATGAAGTTGGGAAATAGGAAAGGCAATAAAGGGAAGACTGGTGGATTGTCGATAAGGTAAATAGGTATCACGTGTATGGAGAAAGGAAATAGCTGCAACAGGATTCATGACTTCGGAAACCTCTTTCTAAAAGATACATTTATTTAATTTTTGTCTACTTTAAATAGTATTTGATCATTTTACAATAGAGAAAATAAGACCAAAGGAATAAATAGCGCTAGACTGCTTTCAGCACATGCTTAAATCCAGCTTTTTCAGCAAAAAAGTCACACACACGACTTCAATGGGACTTTAACACACACTTACAGTTGGGCACTGTATAAGGGCTCGGCTGAATCCGAGCCTAAGAATATGCACAATCCACTCACCCCAACAAAATCCTCCTTCTGGTTTCTCTTTAATCTGCTTTATTATTCTTTCCTGGGGTTGCCATTGTTGTCTATAGAACAGGACCACACAAGTTATGAGCCCCACCCTTCTAATAAAAATTAGAGTGAAATATTGCCTCAGTATGTTGAAATAGCATGGAGAAAGTTTTCTAGGTCTGAAGAGGGTGGGGTGGGATGACTGCAGAGTTAGGCACACAGTAAGTAGTAATTAAACAGGAAGAGTTCAAAAATACCTTTATGAGATGTTGTTCTCATTTCCCAATACAAACAGAAAAGCAACAAGCTTTTTGCCTTTCATCTGATCCTGGTCATTCCTTCTTTTACAACATTCTTGATGACAACAATATTACCCTATATATATATGGGGATATATCTATCTGATAGAGCTGGAAGGGACCTTGAGAGGTCATGAGTCTGGTCTCCTGCCCTCACAGCAGTACCATCCCTGACAGATTTGCCCCAGATCCCTAAATGGTCGTCTCAAGGGCTGAGCTCATAACCCTGGCTTTAACAAGCCAGTGCTCAAACCATTGAGCTATCCCTTCCCCCAAAGTCATTGTAACTTGACTTCCCACAATGCATAGGTGCTATTTTTATTTCTGAACATAGTATTGTTAATTGTCTCAGTACATGCCATGCGGTTGTTATAATGGCTATATTTTCTGACTTATGCACCTTTAAGATCTTATTTAAAATTAAACAAAGATACCTGTGTAGAAATTTTCGGACTATAAGTAATAAATGTATTTCATCACTATGGCAACAAAATCAAATACTAATTGTCAACATTTGGTTGAATAGAATAAAAAAAAATTAAGAGAAATGCAACCTTCTACTGCCTTTATGAGATTAATGGCTGAAGTGTTTGAGGAAAGATGGGCCAAAGTGGCTAAAAAGATTTTAATAAAAATATTATGGGTATAAGTTTTATTATATGTACATTATAGACAACATGAAAAAATCTACAGTATTTCATTAATTTATTCAATCTAATTTATTTAATTAATAACCAAAATTAATAGGACAATTATTTTATCTTTAGTAAAAAGTTAGTAACCAGATCTGTAACACTAATGTTGTCTGTAGGGTTGCCAGACAGTTTAACTAAAAATACCAAACAACCCTCCTCCCCCAAAAAAAACCACCGGGGAAAAAATTCTGTTGAGAAAAAAAAAGGGGGAGACCAAAGTTATTGGGTTAAAAAAAAAAAAAAAGGACCCAGAGAGTTATTAAGCATGGCTCCTTTAAGAAAAGCCTTTGAAGCTTTTTGCCAGCAGCCACCTTGTTTTCCTGATTGAGCCATAAGTCAGCTTTCCTGCAGAACAACACAAGTGGGGGAGTGGGGGGAAAGGGCAAGCGGGAA